TTTATGTGGCATGCTTTGTGCATTTTCATACAATTCATCTTATCTGTCAAAGCGAATCTGTCACGTAAAGCGAAGCAAAAGTTTTATGTGACATCAGCTTTAGTTTTTTGACAACATTATGTACTTTCAATTTAACGATTAATAAAATCGATTAACGCACCATAAACTATTCAGAATAATCGATGCAATATCGAACAATCCTACTTCAAAATCTTTCAAAATTGGCGCAGTAGAAAATCTGCGACTCCCTCTCAATAAAATGAACAACGGACGGAATGGAGTTCACGTTCTTCTTATAGGCTACTCACGGCCGGATAACAATGATTCGACCGCCATCCGTGCTAATTGTACCTGCACTTTAATACGTACTCGTAACGGGCGGAATATCATAGTGGATACACTTACCGCTTGGGATGGAGAACGCCTGACTGAGGTGCTGCATAACTTGCATGGCCTACAGCCGAAAGATATACATGTGGTGGTCTGTACTCATGGTCATTCCGATCATACAGGCTGTAATTATCTCTTCCGGGCAGCGGAATGGCATATTGTAGGTGCTTGTATTTCCAATCGTGACAAGTATTTGGATTGTGCTCTAACCCGTGGGGAATCTGAACCTTTTCAATTGTGTAGCGATGACGTGACAGTAGTTCGTACCCCAGGACACACACTCAGCTGCGTATCAGTGTTGGTTCGCAACACCGTACAAGGTGTTGTGGGTGTTTGTGGTGATCTTTTTGAGCGTGTTGAGGATATAGCTGATCCTAATATTTGGTTGGAAGCCGGCAGTGAAAACGCATCCTCGCAGAAGCGGCAGCGTTTACGCATGGCAGAATTGTGTGATTATATAGTACCAGGACATGGACAAGGTTTTGCGGTAACACAGCAAATGCGTGAAATGTTACGACAACAAGTCAATGCAAGCAGTGATCATATGGAAGATGCTTGTACTTGAACTAAGCCTTTGGCTTATACAAGTATATGGGCTCATTAGAAAAAACCAGGAGTCGTTATTTAACAAGATACATATTTGCAAAACCACCAGCTTTCCAATTGAGAACTAAATTTAAATAAATATTCAGGTAAAGTTTTGTAATTGCTTAAATTCGTTGTTAGATTTTTAAATATTTAAAAAAAGGGCTATGCCTCATTTCTTTATATTTTTTGGGAAGGGTGCGATTTTTTAAATATGGACATATCGCACATTTACCTCAACTAGTGAACGTCCTTAAATTTAATTCAAAAACTTGCAATGTTAGTCGGAGATATAAGTGATCAGAGTGCCATATTTTATTTAAATCCGCGCTCGGTTTTCGAAAGAAGAGTGGTCTCGCATAGTGTCGGTTTTTAACATCATCAAATTCCAAATCACCCTGTACCGATAAAAAAAGGTCTGACTTCAAAAATTAAAATCTGTTGATTATATAGAAAAACCGTATATGAACAGATTAAAGGCATTGTAATTTTTAATTTTTTTAAATTTCTTTGAGCAAAATCGGACTAGTGGTTCTCGAGTTATGTCAATAAAAGACCACCAAAGGTGACAATTTTCCCCTATATGATAGTTATATATACAGTATCGGTCATATCTATAGCACGCCATTTCAAAGTGTGCAACTTATGTTTATTTATTTATTTTTGAGAATTTTCAATTAAAATACAGTTCTTTCTCTAACAAAACCCATATAAAAACAAGTTTAATAATTTGTAGAAAACTTCAAAAAAGTGCAAAAAATTTTCACCTTAATTTCAAACTTTTCTCAGAAGTGTTTGAATTTTTCTGAATACACAGTTTTATAGCCCAACCAATTTTAGTCACTTGACATTTGCACATTATCAGACTAAAATTGCAGTGGCTAAAAAACTGTGTACTCGAAAAAATTCTAACACTTCCGAGAAAAAAGTTTGAAACTTAGGTGAAAATGTGTTGCACTTTTTTAAGTTTTCTACAAATTGTTAAACTTGGGTTTAAATGGGGTTTGTTAGAGAAAGAACTGTATTTTAATTGAGAATTCTTAAAAGTAAATAAATAAACATAAGTGGCACACAATATCACTTTGAAATGGCGTGCTATAGATATGACCGATACTG